TGGGAGACTCCTCAGAAGGCTGGGGGACTTCCGAGCCTAACCCCCCCGGGCTCGCCGCCGATTTCGGGCCACAACTCGGGTCTCCGGCAGCCGCTCGCGACGAAACGGGCATCCCCTGGAGAACGCCCTGGAGAGGCGCAGCTGCGGGAACGCACCTCGAGGCTGGCAAACCCCCGGGAGCCCCCGAGAGCGCCCGAACGCCTCGCACGGCGACGCGAGGGAGGTCTGGGGAGGAGGAGGAGGACGAGGACTATAGGGCGAGGACGAGGACGAGGACGAGGACGAGGACGAGGAGGAGGAGGAGGAGGAGGAGAAGGAGGAGAAGGAGGAGGGGGAGGAGGAGGAGGAGGAGGAGGAGGAGGGGAGGAGGAGGAGGAGGAGGAGGAGGAGGAGGAGGAGGCGGAGGAGGAGGAGGGGGAGGAGGAGGAGGAGGAGGAGGAGGGAGGAGGAGGAGAGAGGAGGAGGAGGAGGAGGAGGATGGAGGAGGAGGAGGAGGAGGAGGAGGAGGAGGAGGAGGAGGAGGAGGAGGAGGAGGAGGAGGAGGAGGAGGAGGAGGAGGAGGAGGAGGAGGAGGGAGGAGGAGGAGGAGGAGGAGGAGGAGGAGGAGGAGGAGGAGGAGGAGGAGGAGGAGGAGGTAGGAGGAGGAGGAGGAGGAGGGAGGAGGGAGGGGGAGGGAGCGGGGGAGGGGGAGGGGGAGGGGGAGGAGGACAAGCTAGGTGCGCTCGCGTCATATCTGACATCCTACCCCTCCCTCCCATCCCTTACCATGGCGTAGATCCCCTCTCTACTCGCACAGTCGGATGTCGAGCAGGGCAATGATCCCGAAAGGGTACGCGATGCATTGTAGAGCACGGCATGGCATGGCGTAGAAGAGCACCGCAAAGCGTAGTATGTCACAGCATGGCGTGGCGTGGCGTAGTGAAGAATTGCATCACAAAGCTTTGCAACGCAAAGCATGGCATCGCACAGCGGCCCCGAACATAACATTGCAGAGCATGGCGTTGAAGATCAAAGCGTAGCATGGCATAGCACGACGTGGCACTTAAGCACTGCATATCACAGCTTCAGCTGAAGGCATGGCATCGCGCAGCGGAACGCAACCGAGCATTACATTGCATGCCGTGGCATGGCACGGGAAATGACGCCAGCGCTGCAGCGGGAGCACGATTCGGAACGAGCGGAAGCGCGGAATGAGGCCAGCGCTGCAGCGGGAGCACGATTCGGAACGAACGGAAGCACGGAAATGAGGCCAGCGCTGCAGCGGGAGCACGATTCGGAACGAGCGGGGCCCGAAAATGAGGCCGGCGCCTCAGCGAGAGCAGCATTTTGAAAAAAAATGCAGGCGAAAACCTGACTCCGGGGAATCCTTTGTAAAAAAACAATACGCGGGGGGGGGCCAACACTCCCAACCCGTCATCAGGGGAAGGAGGAGAGTAGTATTCATATTGAGTAATTGTGGGGGAGGAGGAGGAGGAGGAGGAGGAGGAGGAGGAGGAGGAGGAGGAGGAGGAGGAGGAGGAGGAGGAGGAGAAGGAAGGAAGGAAGGAGGAGGAGGAGGAGGAGGAGGAGGAGGAGGAGGAGGAGACCCACATTCCTTCACGACGCGAGGCTGTCTGGGGTCCTGCATGAACGCGAAGGACATCTGCCTCACCCGGAAGGCCGACTCCCCGTCTAGGAACACCGGGAGAGGGTACGGCTCGTCGGCGGGGTCCGGCCCGTCCAGCGGGACGTCCAAACCAGCCACGCCCGCTGGGGCAGGGCCTCGGGGGGGCCACGGCAGGTCGACGACGGCAGCGGCGACGGCGACGACGGCGACAGCGGCTGACCGAGTGCCCGTGATGATCACACCCTGGGGAGAAGAAACTTCGGGGTCCCAGACGGATAATCCGCCGACACGGTCGGTGTGTGCACGAGGCTCTTCGACGCGAGGCCAGCCCTACCCAAACTGAAATATGAAAGCCTCCTTTGAATCGTCGTCGTCGGAAAAGGAGATCGAACAAATAAGGGAGATCGAGAAATGACGCAATTATGTCAGAAAGTAGCCCCGTCTCTTTGTCCCTTCCCCGCGGGGAGGGGGGGACAAGGGGTTCGTTCTCCAGAAACTGGTTGGTTCTCCAGGGGAGAGGATGGTTCTCTGGGTGGACTCCTGGATCCTACTGGCTATCTGGAGATTCTGGCAGAAGGGCTGATTCTCTGGGTGAGAACCTATCAAGGATCTTAGAAACTACGTCAAACTTCAATTTCTCAAATCAAATGCAGTCCCTTTAAGAGGAACGCCCATTTTTTGGAACCACTCTAACCTCGGCTACCCAGAGAACCAACTCTTCATGGTAAGTTCTGTAGATGTGACGAGTCAGTCATCGTAGTAGTACTAGCAGTCGTTGTAGTCTTAGCTGTAGTAGTCCTACTAGCACTAGCAGTAGTAGTAGTCGTCGTCGTCGTCGTCGTCGTCGTCGTCGTCGTCGTCGTCGTCGTCGTCGTCGTCGTCGTCGTCGTCGTC